CCTCTTGGTTCTCCTGTTCTTCATCTACTAGGCATTTCAATTGTTCTGTGCCTGTCACATCCCTAATTTCCCTCTCACTCACTCATATTCTATAAAGGCTGTCAGACATTTTGATGCTGCTTTGTAGAGTACTCCTGAGTAGTAGTAGAGTAGAAACAGGAAATTGCTGTATAGAACATCAGGTCATTGGTCTGCTTTCTCAGGACTGTTGACATTGCCTGATACAGTTCTTCAGAGTCTCAGATAGGACAATTGTTTCCTGCTCTATAAGGAGAAGGTGGAAATTGTGTCTGAAGTCTTTAGTGTGTTCAAAGTGGGCTGCCATCTACAGAGATACTGCTCTTCCTTGACTGTTACCAATGACGTGCAGTACATCCATGCTGATCTCCTGATAGTTTTTGCAGCAGACAACAAACATTGTAGGCTAATGTGAATTTAGGACTTCTGCAATTCCTGAAAATATTTTGCGATAATGGCACTTTTTCTGTTACTATTATTGCATCTCCAGTTTTGTGCTAAGATGTTAAGCTAGATGTTTCCTGCAAATTGCTTTCCAACAGCTACTTAGGACACACTGCAACAGTTCTCATATTTCAGACTCTTAGAAACACTCCCAGACTGCTTACCAGCACTTCCTCCAGCTATCAAAGGAGAGGATAAAAATTGGCATTTTCCAAGAGCTTTGGCCCCATCTTCACCCCACTCCATTCTGATTTTTGTTTGAAAACTATCCAGTTGCTATGAGGGAGAGGTTCAAGTTGCTTATCTACCCTGTTCGCTGGCTTGGGGAAGGCACCCCAGTGCCTTTATTTCAACAGGGAGGGGAGAAAGCCAAGGGGATGGTACAAAGCAGGATTTTCTGTCACTAGGGAGCTGCTCCACACCTTTACCAGTTCAAAACTGTCTGTTTTGCAATTCCTCCTGAGCTGAACCTTAATTTAATTAATTAATTAAGCTAGACCTTAATTGGACGGCTGCCTGAAGAGAAATCACAGGGGACAGGGCACCAAAGCCCCATGTGGAAGTGCCCTAAATCACATGACAGAAAGGAGTGAGAAACCAAGTAGTATCTTATAGAGAGCCAATGTACTTAGCATGATGAATTGGAATTAGGGAGAGGTCTATGGAAGTTCCTCTTTGCCTGAATTTCGACTAGTTCTTCTCTTCTCCCCAAGCTACCATATGGGATTGTTTTGAGGATAAATTGAGGGGAGGCCTCTTCAGCAGCCCTTTGAGCTCCAAGAAGGTGAGATATAGTTAATTCCCATTTTAAATGGTGATCATTTCAAAACTAAGCTATGTAACTAACATTATGTCCCATCCTCTATGCCTTTTACCTTCCATTCTCCCTGGATGGACGCAGACACACAAGCACGCCAGAGATATAAGAACAACCAAGCAGGTGTCATTTACTCTTGTACCATCTGGCACTTTAAAAGAGAAGAGGAAGAAACAGAAGGGGAAATGCTCAGGAAAGGAACAGGGCACAGAGACAGCAACTGAGATTTATAATTCTGCAGAGTCTCAGAATAAAAACAAAAATGCACTTTCATCCCAAAATGCTTTATGGCTTTGATTAAGTGCCAAATGACCTTAATCTGCCCAGGTTTGATGCCATTAAAATGTACGTCCACCACATTCACCATTGTGGTGTTCAGTAGCTCTCCAAAGAGGGAGTCTTTGGGGATACTGTTTCATCAGAACTCCTGGTTACAAAGATATAGAGGAGGAAAAGATTCTTACACCACAAAAAGGTTAGGCTTCTCCCACATGTAATGTTTCCTTTCCATTATATTGTTGAAGGGAAATATTGATGAAGCAAATATTGATGAAAGGAAAGTGCATATATGAGTTATCCTATAATGAGAAAAGGAGCAAAAGATGTCATTCCATGACATTCTGAATTTGTCAGCTGCTATGTCCTAGTTTTCACACATACTTTATCAGGCAGAAAAAATAATTCCTATGTCGGGATAGATATACTCAAGGGATAAGGGATTTCCCCACTGTCCTCTAAAAAAGAATAGATAACACTATAGAAATGGTTTACTGTTGCCTTCTTCCAGGACATTCTTTTAATTTCCAAGTTAGCTTGTGACCCTGGTACTTCCCAGTAGCCTCTCATCCAAGAAGTATTAACCAGGTTATACCCTGTTTAGTTCTTCAAGATCAACCAAGGTCAGCTAAATGTGGGTTTATCTGCACCATGACATAAAAACTGGGTTCAGACATCCTGCTAAGCCATTAGGTGCTTTGTTTACTTTTGAATTAACATGCCATGTGAACTACAGCCAACTGAGATTATTCCATGGTTTAAAGTGATGTGTAAATCAGATTAAAATGATTTACTAAAGTCCTGCTTTGCCCTTCTAATTTTGTTGGCTTTTTTAATCAGATGCTTGTGATGAAAATAGCTGGGGTTATTTTATTTATTTATTAATCACATTTATATAGCCACCCATCTCACAAAGTGCATAATAAAACAATCCAAATCCATAAAAATAATAAAAAATACAAGCAAAATAAATTAAAAAGATAAAAAATAAAATGGCAAAATTTTGCTATTGATATGAGATCTGGATGAATTCTATGGCTTTTCACACCAAAGTTTAGGAAATGTTATTGTCAAAAAATGGAACAGGGCAGTAACAAGTAGAATGTGGGGGTCAGATCATAACAGTCATGGAATACATGTTTTGCATGCATGCTGTAGAATTTGGTACTTATTATTTTCAGTCAACAACATGGTAGCCAACACCTTTTTCTTTCACGGCACAAGAAATGGAAGCACTTATAGTTGACCTGCCTTTCTGCTTCTCCTCCTCCCATCTTCTTAGCATCTCTGTTTTATATGTATGAACTGGAGTCACACAGGGTGCAATGGAAAGATGAATGCTAAAGATCTCATTCAGAGATCAAATAAGAAATGAGGAAACTCAGCAACAAACTAACTTCAAAGATGTCATAACTGTAGCATTAAAACAGGAATATAAATGTGCAGGACACATTGTATGTTTATCAGACAGAAGGTGGACATAGAAAGTGACATGGTAGTGGCCCTATAACATGCCCACTTGGATTACCTTGGATAAAGAGATGGGTTATGAAAAGGTCTCAGTCCCAACTGGAATGCCATAGCAAAAGATTGAATGAAGTATCTGTTGAAGTTGTCGTTTCCGATATCCACACTATCTGGATGAAAATGACAATAAAATAATAAAGTGAAAATGATCTAGATTGGATGCAAGTTCTCTTGAATTTAATTTCAAGAAAATATGAACTGGCAATAAAGCAAAATACATATAAAAAATCAATAGTTGGACTAATTTAAATGTTATTACTTTTAGGCATGTTGAAGGCATAGAACTGCACTTCCACCAAACACCAAGAAAGATGCTATTAAAAGAAGTTATGGGCTTTGTTCACACAGGGAAACACATAATTTAATTAACCATAGTTAACTGATTCAACCCAATTGATTGGATTCGTGCAACATACTAAGCCACAATCTGCCACAATCATTTTAGGTTGGCATGTCAACCATAGACATTCAGAGATAACCAAGTTGCAGCTCTTCAGTTATTGCTGAATTAAAACTCTCAGCGTCATTCGTCATTGACCATACTGGCTGAATGCCTAAACACTGCATTTCCCTCATAGCTGGAGGACCACAGATTCCTCACTCCTGCTTAAGCTGTAGAGCAGAGATTGATAATTGTTTTCAGGCCCTGGATTCCTTCCCCCCAAATTACCTGAAGCCTTGTGAGATCATACAATTTCTTGTTTCAGGACTCACTCTCCCCCCAGCTGAAATCTCATGAGGTTTGGTGATCTTGTGAGATTATAATCATTTAAAAATACTATAAAATAATTTAATTTAATAATTTAATTTGGAGGAATGACAGTGTATTGCCAAGAGCAGCTTTTCCAGTCTGGTGTCTTTGGATGTGTTGGAATTACAACTCCCAGAATTCCCAGCCAGTTATTCATGCTTATTCTGGGTGAGAATTTTGAGTTGAAACTTAAAACAAGGATGGACAACTTGGAATTCTCCAGAAATGTTGGTCTACAACTTCTCCACTGCCTTGTGATTGGCTTTCCTGGCTGGGGGTTGATGGGAACTGAAATCCCCAGGGGCTTGGAGACACCAAATTGTCTAATGCTAGTTGAACATATCTGGAGGTTGCCAGGTTGGGGAAGGCTTCTCTAGAGGAGAGAGAGAGAAAAAGAAGACACAGGACTTGTCTATTGAACCTGGACCTCATTCACATTCCCCACAAATATTAGTGGAAAGGAAATTCAATAACCAGTGATATCTAGCAGGCATTTAAAATGTGGCTTGTCAGGATTTATTCTGGAGCATTAGAAGAGGATCTGCATGCTGGACATTATGGAATCATGGCCATCTGTGGTAGGGGGGTGCAAGGGCAAACAAATGACATGTAAGTTATGGAGTATATATACTTGCATCAGATAGCACAATATAGATTACATAATTATGTTATTTGCACAATGTCATGCCACACATATTGTGATTTTTATGTCATTTTGACTTGTAATAATGCCTATGGAAATACTATGTGTTCCTGAATGCAACATAACTTAAAGTTTCTCCTCCTGTGAATTGTTCAAGAATTAACAAGCATTAACATTATACGGTGCATTTATTAAAACTTTCTGGTTAAGTTCAGACAACATGCTCACCCATGTTTTGCTTAATCATGACTTATTGCTTAAACTATAACTGACTGGGTTCATACAAAGCAATCAGCCATGAAACATGCTTTAACATTTACAGAGGTTGAGTTCACACCACGTTAAACCAAACCTAAAGAAACCTTATTACAGCTTAAAATGACATGTAGACCCAGTCATTGTATGAATGTGACCTCATTATATAGACTTTAAATCATCTGGTGTTACTGACATATTGCTATTGTAACAATGAATGAATGGTCATGTGTTATTCTCTCCCACTAATTGTTACTTCACCCCTATAGCTTCAAGTCCATCTCCAGAAAGACAGGATGTAACAAGGCCCGTGAGCAAAAATCCTTTGACCTGGACTGTCGATGATGTGGTTTGGTTTGTTAAAGATGCAGATCCTCATGCTTTAGGACCCCATGTGGAGCTCTTCAGGAAACATGTACGTAGAAAGTTTTTTTGTGGTAGAATGGCAGAATCCAAATTGAACCTCCTAGCAAATAGCCCTGGCCTGTACAACCTGTGTTGAACCAATGTAAATTGAAATGGATTGGCAGCTGACAAAAGTTAGAAAAGGTGAGTCTTCCTCCAGGCAAATAGAATTAATCTAGGGGAAGAGAAACATGAAGCCCTCTGACTGCTTCTGAACTACAGCATCTCTCACCAGCGGCCATGTTGATTGAGGTTACTGGGAATGGACCAGCAACCCTTAAAGTGCTGCAGGTTCCTCACTCCCAATTTACAGAATTATCTCCTGCAGAACATGGTGGTAATCATGTCTTAGAGAGCCTGAAGTGGGGCTTGGATGCATTCAGAGAGGATGACTCTAAAGGTCATTGTTAGCTGCTACAGCTAAATAGGGACTCCAGGGTCAGGCAGCCTGCCAATGAGGGTCAATTGCAGGAGAACTGAGTGGGAGAGCCATCTTCTTCCTAATCTTCTTGTGCGCTCCCCAGAAATACCGCTCTGGTCACTGTGGGAAAAAAGTCTGCTGAAGAGCTAGACCTTGCTGGGCTTTTCATTTTCAGTCAGAAGAATACCCAACAACTAGGCCTGCTAGCATTTTTTGTAACACAACAATCCTGTGTAAGAGGGATGAGAATTCAAAGATATATGGGTTTTTAATCCCCCCCCCCCATGAAGCACCCACTCACCTCCTGCTTATAATTCAGTCAGCTTCACAGGGAAACATACAAGAGGTCTAGTGCTTGATTAAAAGTATCACCCTATTCAGCTCAATTATGCCTTTGAATGACTCATTTCCATGCAATTGTTCAACCTTCATATCTAAACTGGATTAACAAGAAGACCCCAGAGGTGAGAGACAAGTGATTACTCCATTAACCTTAACTACAGTTTTCAGCAAGTTAAATCATTCTAAGGAGCAGGTGCATCATTTAAACTGATGGCCTGGATGCCACTGACATTCCCAGCTCCTGACTTTCTTTCCTTGCATTCAGCTAATTTGGCTGTGACATGCCATCACCGCCAAACAAGAACAATTATTAATTTAACTTCTCACAACAAAGAGCGACCAGCAGTGTATTTACTGAAAACAGCACTTGTAACATCAACACAATGTCTCTTAGTTAAGACCTGCTTCATTACTCTGGGATGGCTGATCTTCACCCAGTCCTAAACCCCTGCATAGACGTCCCTTGCCAGCTGGCCTCCTTCTATGCACTTTCAAGGAAGGTGTAGAAATATGTAAAGAAAGTTTGGGCTGGGTTTAAATATTGGTTAAACCATAATGAGCTTTCTTTGGCTGTTGTTTAGATTGTAACCTGTTCTTTCAGAAGTGAAACCTGCCTCCTCCAGTGATGCAAACTATGACTGAAAGCACATATATTTCTTAAGACTGAACTATCTTTGTATGGATCATTTTAGCTTTTTTTCCCCAATCAGCTTACCCTTTATTTTAATAGAAAGATCGTACTGCTGGGCAAAACAAAGTTTGCCTTCTCGATTATTTTAAAAGCAGAGCAAAATAAAAAAAAAGTTGGCAAAGCAATCCTTCCATTTCTGTTCAATTATCAAGCAGAATGTTTTACACTTTGAGAAGCCACAGTGAAGTCAGCCTTCTGATTTAGAGCTTGTTTGCACTGGTTACTGGGCTCTTTCAGAGAGCTTAATGCTACTCTTGAAATATTAAACCTGACGGTCCGTGTTCACAAGATTAGATTGTAATAAAGCAACATGAAATGTTTCCAGTTGCTTTATACTTTTGCAACCTCACAGCAGAGTCTGAGAAACCCGTGTATGTCATGAGCTCCAGTGGCCATTATAAAGCCCTGCTGAAATGATTAATAACAGTTCAATTCTCTAACTGAACCAGGCCTGTGATGGAACAGTGTGTGCTCAGTTGCTGCTGTTTCTGCTTTACAAAATTCTCAGGAGCCCTTTATGTTAATCCCAGATTGCTGGATTTTATTCAGCCATACTTTGGATTGCAATCCACGCTAGGTTTTCTAGGTGATGCAATATACCTTTAATGAAGGAGACCCTGGCAAGTGAATCATGGAGAGAACGTCTGAGAAGTATGTTCTCTTTACAAGAAACATGGGGCCTTAATACAATGCACGGTCCTCCTTGTTGCGGGAACCTGGGAGATGGCCCGCTTCAGCCTCTGTGCCTGGGGTCTAGAACTTGTTGGCAAGGGCCCTTGTCCTCCTTGCTTTTGCTAGGTGGTTGCAACCTCCCATTTCATGACGAGAAAGATTTTTGCATTGTGAACATTGTCCCCAAATTCTTTCAACTTTAATAAAAGCTGTTGTATTATCTTATTATTAGTGGCCAGGTACATTCGGGGATGGTGTCAAAATGGCAGCCATGGCTGTGCAACGGAAGCCCCCCTTCTTTTACCTGATTGCAGACACAGCGTATATAAAAAAGGGGCAGAGTTTCAATCATGCAGCCAAGGCTGCCATCTTGACTTTGTTGAGATCTCCTGCAGAGACCCCGTAAGTGGCAGTTTATATAGTTCATATCTGAACTGTTTGCTTTAGTGCATTAGTTAGAGTCCTTTCCTTTACTATTCATAGTCATCTGGTGCCTCACAGAGGCTCCCATCCCTGTCACCTGATTTGTCAATTTGTAGTTACTGCTAATGCTGTTGTGAAAGATCCTATTTCCGTGAGACCTTGTGACTATGGAGTCCTCCAAGCACAGATGTCTGACACTCAGGCTCCGTACTCAGAGGACTGGGCCATCAAGAAAATCAACAGCTGCCCCTGAAACATGACTACAGTTTAGACTTCTAGAGTCTGTTAGTCTTTAGCACTTGACTGTTCATGGTGGTGGTGTTTCATTATTCAGTGATCTCATTATTACTTTTGTCTTAATTTACATTTTATGGAAGGCATTTTAATGTTGTATTCTGCCTGATGTTGCATGGCATGGCAGGTTATGTGAAAATATTTTAAATAAATCAATTCATAGCATTTCAGTTAAAGAGATTCAGTTCTGGAATGGTAGAACATTCAGGAACTGAGCTCCTACTTTGCTGAATTTCTCAAAAATGTTTAATGTCATCAGAGACATGCAGGCCAACCCTTTGGTTGCCATAAAGTGTTTTATTTCTTCTGCAAACACAGTTCCAAATTATGATTTATGCTCTTCGTGCCTTCTCCCGTCTTTCTTTTTGTATTAGGAGATTGATGGCAATGCGTTGTTGCTACTGAAAAGCGACATGATCATGAAATATTTGGGCCTGAAGCTGGGACCAGCACTCAAACTCTGCTATCACATTGATAAATTGAAACAAGCCAAGTTCTGATACTTTTTTTAAAAGACCCAACTATCCCAATGGAAACCCAGGAAGTAGATGAAAGGTAACAAGCTGCCTTATGGAAAGATGATCCATTCTCAAGCTGTTTCTCCTCTGTTTTGTACTGAGAACTTGGCCTTTATAAAAGTGTTCATCTTCACCATTTTAATTCAGTGAAGGGTGGGGGGGATGTGTTTCACTGGTTTGTGTTAATACTTTTCAAAAAAAGTATATGATTATAATTATTTTGTATTTTTCATATTGTTATGGTTAATCTTATTAAGTCCTATTTTTGTATTCATAAAAGGAAAATCATACGCCAAAAGAACTTTCCTACTTTTTAGAAAAGAAGAAATTTGAAAAGCTTTAGGAAACTTTCCTCTGGGCTGTTTCACATAAGCCTGGCCATCATGTCTGGCCATATCAGGTGACTTGCCTTGTGAATTTTCTAGCACAGTCAGAGGACTCTCATATCACCTCACACAGAGTGCTTTTCAATGGAATCAATGAGCACATTCAGCTGCCAGTCATCAGTCACAGTTTAGCAACATTCATGCATGTGTGAATGTACTCATAATCTAATTCTGTTGTGTGACCACTCATACGTTCCTGAAACAGGAGAGCCATCTATGTTTTTCCCAGTGACCTGGGAGGATCACAGAATATTCTGGGAATATGAAGATAAAAATGTTATTTATAAGTGAGCTTTTACATGGCGATACACTGTGAATTTAATCATGTCTGCATGGCATTCAGTTTGTAAAGTGACTGGACAGCTACTGTCTGCTGTTCTCCATGTTCTTCCTTGCTAGAGTCATATGCTCTCCCACATAGTCATCAACATGAAGGTTTCAGTAATGTGATCTTGGATATCTAGGAGCGTATTGGCAACAGACCATTTGACAACGTAATAAGTATACAACATTCCTCTGGTTGAAAATAATGAGGAAATGTCCCTTCTATAGTCTGCCCTGCACAGTGATCATAGGTTGATTAGATAAGAGCCAGGAAACCTACAAATGTGTACCCAGTTAACTGTACTTATTATGGCATACTGTGGCATTATTAGGAAACCTGTCCCATGGTTTGCACTGTCTTGAAAACTTGAATTATTTCAGTGGAAACAGGAATGTTTCTCTCTGCTACCTGAAGTATCCTGTTTTTTCATTAGAGGATTTGATGTTAATCAACTCTAGTCTTGAGCTGTGATAGCATCATTGCATTCTAAAGAGCAACTTCTCCTTGAGTGATATCTCACCCTTAATCAATACGGGCCGATGGCTTTCACTCTAATCAACCCTTCCTGTTCCAGATGGTGCTTCTACTCTTCACACTCAGAAGACAACTTTTGGATTGATACCAGCGCAGCAAATGAGAATCCTGTTGTCAGGAGTTCTGATTAGGAAGTCTACAAAGCAAACACGTTGCTTGACCAGCAGTTTTCCTTCTTAATCTGGTTCTATTCTGCAGATATTTTATCGTGCATTTGGAAAAACAAAAAACAAAAACAAACCACACAGAATGTATCAGGAAGGAAGGAGAAAATAATTAAGTGCTGCACTGTAGATTCACAAAGATGTTCAGTCTAGAAGAAACATAGCTTATCATTAACTTTATCTTGGGACTGAAGTTGCACAAAATCTCATTAATCATCAATAGATGTGCTATCCTATACAGTTGTACTACATATCTGCCATTATTCCGCCTAAGTTCTACATCCTACATCTGATAAAGCTATGGGGGGCTGGGAGGAAAGAACAAGATCTTTTAAGTGATAAATTGGAAACGTTGAATATTCCCTTGTTTTTCTTGGTTTAAAACTTGTGTGTAAGTATACCTCAGAGAAGAAATTGGTGTTTTGCCCTAATCTTGGGAATGTATTCTGGACTCTTTACATTACATTTGCTCTAATGTTTTTGTCTAGATTAACATGATCTCAGATATCCTGGGAATATTCAGAGTATTGGCGTTCAAAAAGAGAATGGATACATATATTCTTATTGTTATTAACTTGAATAACTTTACACCTTGTTGCTGCAAGACATGGATCTTTATACATCCATCAGATGTTTTACCAGATAGGAAAAGAGGGCATTTGGAGCTTGTCACATGCACAATGTCAGCATATCCACAACTACTGGTCCTTGGAGGTCCATAACTTGGCATCCTGTTAGCATAATTGCAGGATGGGTCCCACAGGAGCTTCCTCCATGCAAACAAGCAGTTGTCTTTCAGAACCTTCTTATTATGTGCAGATCACCTTCTCATTAGATCGGAGGTATATATATCATGATCTCTAGGGGTTTAAGCTATTTTTGTAAGCACATTTAAATCAGGTCAAATCCTCTGAGGTTTGGTCAATTAAACTGAAATACATATGTGAATAAACTTAACAGCGTATCCAATAACTGAAGAAGTAAGTACTTGAGTTGTTCTATAGCACTATAGTCTGAGGTGGCATAGAGGATTCCTTTAACTTGAAAATTTGTGAACACATGAACAAGATTTTTGTACAGTTGTACAGTTAAGCACAATTGTTGCTTTTTAAAACAAAGGTGTTCTGTTTCTTCTGAGTGTACATAGAGTTGAATATAACTGTACTGTTGGACTCTGCAAATCCCATGACAAACTTGTCTCATTCTTACGCCTCAGTGGGGACATCTTTTGTCCTCTAAGTGCAATTCTTTGTTCCATTTCATTGAAATAACCATATGTAAATATTGTTCCTCTTCACCAAGCATTTGATTTTCATTAAGATGTCTCCCATTTTGATGAATCCTTGTGATTTTTTTATTAACCAAGATCTCCACCTCATTATGTCAGCTTATCCTACATTAAAAGGCTGTATTGTTTCCTCTGGATCTAGATTTTATTTCTTTTTTTTTCAACCAACGAATGACTCACAAGTCTGAGCTGCATCACAAAGCCTCTTTTATGGATCTATTGCCATTCGCTCATAGCTCATAGTGGCTGCCAGCTGTACAGTCTTTTCCACCGATTGTGTTACAAGTACAATCCTATGCATGCTTATTTGAAAATAAAGGCTGAGGGAGTAAGTTCTGAAGAAATAAGGATTGGACTTTCTGTGCATGAACCTAGCATATCAAATGACTACCTCTGTACATGCAGGGCAGTGCCATTAAGGTGCCCTTAAAATAAAATTGCAGATGCACAAAATATCATAAACTGGATTTATGGCTCTGTGAGCACTCAATCACTAATAATAGAAGATGGAAGAGAATTATGCAGATGCTGGTACAATAATCAAGGTGGTTTAACTTTGAGATGCAGGCAGCTGAATAGCCTAGGTTCACATATCACAATAAGGCATGTTTTCCTTAATCAGAGTTTGTTGAATAAATCATCAACCATAGTCTACAAAACACATGGCTTGGTTCACACAACATGCTAAGAAAAATAACCAAGGAAATCAGCCAGCTTAGCGGAGAGGTGGACCCAGTTTGTACAACTACACAAAGACCTGTACAATTCCACATTGCCATACTTCAGTATATTTGTTTCTCTTGCCTTCTGGACTAGGAGTTAATGACTGCAGTTATCCTTAAAGCAGAAGGTGGTACTATGTGTTTACTGATCATTCATACAGTTCCACTGAAATGAGCAGCTCTTGATCTGTCTTCAGACCATCCATCCATCTGTCGCTCTTGGGTGCAAAATAAAGAAAATACACCAGGCTACACTTCTATTTTCACAAATGAATCCTGAATAACTAGCTTTCTCTGAATTGATTTAAATTGTAGTACCAGAATAAAATAATGTTCCACTAAATGCATTGAAGTGGAGCAGGGACCGGATGGATTCTTCCTGTCTGTACAGGCATCAGGATGGTTTAACTGTGTGTGGAGGTGAGTAGTTCCTTTTCAGTGATTCTTGAGCATAAGAAACGTCTACTTTCTATCTTGCCTTCCCTCTGAGAGCTACTTGGTCTCCCCAAGTAAACTGCCAAACTAAACTTCACAATTTTTAATACAAAATATTGTTTTTGTACAGATATTTAATGGTGCTATTTTTAAATCTTTGTGAAGATTGGTGCAACAATCATAATGTGAAGCTGATTTTGTGATTTTGTGCTAAGGGAGGAGATGTAAAAAAAAACAAAAAAACAGCGAGGCTTTAATGAGTTACTGCTTGCATGTGCCATCTTGCTGCACATTTTGAACGGAAAGACATTTAGGAGCCTGAAAATATAGAAGCAATATAGCAATTATCTCAGTTCTTCCCCATTCCTCTTGCAAACCTTGTTAAAGGCATTTGTTAAGTTGTTAGATATGCATGTCAGACCATTTCTTGTGAATGAACGGTGCTGACATGTCAGAGAATCCTTGTCAATCCTTTTTAAATTAGCTGCTGTTTCAGATTCAAGCTGTTCAAAATACATGGCTGCTTGTTGGCCATCCCTTCATTTTACCTCAGATCGCAACCAATCAAGGTACATTTTTATTTGTTCCAAACAGGTACGTGTTCTCCAGTGCAATTAATTACATCAGTCCGGGTTTTGTTTGTTCTTTGTGGGAGAACTCTGCTGTATCCAAAGCCTTTGTTCGCAGCAAGTTTTAAAAATATTTTACTTCCTACAGAATGTAAAATTTTGTTGCCAAGCCATGGGGCAGAATGTATCATTTGTGATGCCGCTGCAGCGCCAATAAAGCCTAATTGGATTATTTCCCATCTTTTCATAGTTTGGGCTGCTTGTCTGTGTTCTGTTGAAATCAGGGACACAAAGGTCCAGGTTTGAACTTCCCATCCGGGATTCGGGGACCACCTGTGCAGCAGTCATGCACCGTCTGGAAGCCACACACCCGGGAATGCCTGCAGGCCACGGTGCTCTCAGCGCCACATCTGTCGGAGGCTGCCAAACGCCATGCCCCATCAGATTTTACTTTTACTTGGGTTATTTTAATAATAAAACATTAAATGAGAAGCCAGCAAATGATAAAACAGCACCAGCTTCAAGCGTCAGTATTTAATTGCAAGAAAGCCTGGGGACG